TGCATGATTGGAGCCGAAGCCTCGAGAAAGGGAGAAGTCACAATGGCCATGAGCATTGCCACTGTGACAAAAAGCTCAACCCTGAACCGCCCCTGGGCTCGCCAGGTACGGAATTGAGTTCAGGGGCCCTACAGCGCCGCGCCAGGGCCGGCGAAATTTGGATTTAGGCCCGGTTCAGGGTGCGCACGGTACCCTCGAAGTACCCCCCAAAAGTTTGAACCAATTCAGGGTTCGTCGGGAGTCGCGAGAGTGCCCCAACCGACCCCTGAACTCGGCCTGAACGGTGAAGGCCGGTTTAAGGGTTTGTTGAGGTACGGTACGGTCCGAGGGACAAAAAGGACCGAACTCTCGGATCATAGGTGGCTACCGCCGGGAATTGATTTTCTGATCATTACAGTTATTACAGTTATTACAAAAGTAAACTTATCTGCTAAGCGACTACTCTAACCACTACGCTACTGTATGTTCTATGCTGCTTGTAAGTGAAAATTCCAAAAAACATTATATACTGTGGAAATTGTTCAAGCTAGGCCTAGGCTGCCCAAGTTCCTTGTCACTACTTTACGACTTTTGGAACATAGAATTTGACCAAGTCCTTTTTACTATCTGCTCTAGTCTAAGATTTAGGATTCCCCTGGGCACTTCCGTTCCGGAGATACTGGCATTTTGTAAGAACCGGGCAGAGAACCTCAATGAGAATGCTAAAGATTCTAATCTCGCCGGAAACGACGGGATGCACTCGAAAATGTTGCAAACCCTGAAGTGACCCTTCTTTGTTTAGCTAGGGCCCTTTTAGTGGGGATTCAGGTAGCTCGATATATTGAGCCGTTACCCCTGACAATACGCTGATTGTTGAGGCCTAGTTTAGGGTCCGACCAGCGCCGCCGCAAATTTTCCTTACGGTACCCGGCCGAGCCCTTAAATTTTCAGGGTCCGACCAGTACCAATCGGGAAGTTCAGAGGTAATTTGGCGTCCGTAAGGCCGGTTCAGGGGGTGAACTTTTCTCACAGTGTGCATGATCCGGTGATGTGCATCCTGCATCAGAGAGCAGAAAGAGATCTACAGCACTTGCAGCGCCTCCACGCCGCCAATGTGTTTTGCGTGCAAGAAAATTGGCACGTCATCTATGGATAGGCCCGGTCGAATAGGGTCGTTTTGTTCATTTTCATCATGTGGCGAGGAGTCAAGGGTCGAGTAGGCCATGTATAGTGAGTGCCGGTATGGATAGACAGGTAGGATAGGCCACGTGGCCGTTCCCGATGCCAGCCGGCAGAAGAGACGATACCGCACGGCAAGAACCTTCTCAACCTTCCACTCCAGGTTCCCATCAACAAGCAGAGGCGCCGGCAGTGGTTGCACCCGTCCATCTGGCTTGTAGGGATTCAAAAGACTAACGTGAAAGACGGGGTGAATCTTCACGCTTTGATGTCAAGTCAAGTTTATACGGCACAGCCCCAATGCGTTCCGTCACTGGAAACGGACCAATAAAACGAGGCCAAAACTTAGGCGTATTTGGAAATTTGATAGGAAGATGCTTTGTTGAAAGCAACACTGTGTCACCAACTTGCAACTCCAACTCCCGACGATTTTGATCAGCGAAGACTTTCATACATTGACGCGCACTACTCAGTACGGAATTAGCCCTGGATAGGCCGGTACTGAGGCGCCTAACGAAAGTCCCGGCAGCAGGCACTTGAGCATTGCCAAGCCCCAATTAAGGGGGTTCGGGCTTGCTAACCAAAATTCAACTCGAACGGAGAAGCTCTTACCGACTCATGCCACGCCGAGTTATACACAAACTCGGCCGTGGAAAGCAAGCGATCCCAATCGTCATGCTCCGGAGAAACGTAATACGTAATATCGTAATACGTTTCAAGAGTTTAGTTAGAACGTTCCGTTTGCCCATCTGATTCTGGGTGAAATGCGGTTGAGCGACACAACTGCGTGCCGAGCAGACGCGTCGCCTCCTCCCAGAACTTCGATGTAAAACGAGAGTCCCTATCGGAAATGAATCCCTTAGACACTCCGTGCAAGCGATAAACCCAATCAAGCCAGAGCTCCGCAAAACCCTCAGCCGAAACGTTCGAAGTAGTAGGCGCAAAATGACGCACCTTTGTCAGCGTATCTACGAACACACAGATCGTATCATAGCCACGTGCCGTCAAGGGCAGCTGGACAATGAAGTCGAAACTCACCGAGTTTCACGGTCTTTCGGGAATCGGAAGAGGTTGCAACAGTCCAGCTTTCTGCAATCTGAGGGGTTTGTTTCGCCGACACACTGGGCAATTACAAAAGAGCAACGCAACCTCAATTCAAGCAGTACATCTCAAACTGTCAACGTAAGCTGAACCCCCTCAACTTCCTGAGAAGATCACATCCATATAAGTTTGATCAATCTCCAGAAGCATGCATAGCAAGGTGAGTCTGTACAGGTACCCACCTTCAACTTAAGCAGCTCAGGTAGGTTGCATCAGCTCAGTAACCCCAGGCACTCCCTCAGATACCCCCACCTCAGGTACAGGCTCCATCAAACAGCTCGCACGTAAGCAGAAAGTTCTGAACACCTGAAAGCCGGCAGGCCGAGATACTCAAGCCCCTGCCATATGCAGCCCTTATGTACAGGATACGGCGGCTCTCAAACGCGCTGTACAGGCTAGTATGAGGACATGACCTGCTAAGAGCTCTATCCCGGGGACGGAACCAATAAATCACTCCCCTCAAAAACTAGCTACTCACTGTCTACGGCATGACTGTACACACTGCGCACTCGAGGTCGGCGGAGAAAACATTACAATCTCAGCACACAAGGTGCTCAGGACATGCACTATACACAATTAACACACTAATCTACCCCATGATGCTATAAAGACAATCTGTGCCGCGGCGCTATCCGATGCAACTCACTTTCGTACACGGCGGAAGCTAACGTAAGCAACTATCATAGAACACTGTGGGCATGGATGGCTGTGAGCATGAAGACAAGATCGATGGTTGTAAGCGCTTATTTGCTTGAAAACTTCTCTCTTAAAGTAGGCCCGGGTCCTTCTTCTTTGCTTCTCCTTAAAGTCTGATTTTTACCTAGCAAAAAGTAGAATCGGACTCTAGTCGAACACTATATACAATCTGATTGTCATCTTTTCTTTGACCTGATTCTAGTTCCGGAACTCACTTGGCACGTGTGAAAGAGTTTAGCTAACAGAGTTTCACGTGAAACTTACTGACGAGCCAATCAGGTCTCTGACACGCTGTACAACTTCACCTGGCATTGGCTTCAAAATTGTTAGTGCCGGGGATCCGCCGAGGTTACTGGGGATCCGCCGAGGTTACAATCACTAAGCACTCGGTTAAGTCTTAACTCTGGTAGTCGATTTCTACGGTAGCAAATTTTTGAGCTAACACAATCCTAAAGCTAATGGTCAAATTGAACGTTTTGTGAGAATCCTTCGTGCTGCTACTTGTCACTCTCATCGATGAGAGTGACAAAGGATCCTTTGGGAATGGCAGAAGTTTGTTTCTACAGTCACCTTTCAGTATGACGTCGATCACCTATCAGGATACCCTTCAATGCAGTCCCTTTGTCTGCGTCTTCGGTCGCGAACCCGTTTTGCCCGCTAATCATATTTTCCCTTCTCAATCTTCGCTTTCTGATTGGTCAAGCTGTTGAACCGTCTGCTGATGATCATCGATCAGTCGTGTTGACCGTTTGCATAATGTCCACGATCATGCTCAGCAGAATATTGAGAGATATCAGGAAAAAGCAAAAGAAAACTTCGCCCGT